TTTAAAAATACAAGTGATTAGGCTAGTGATTCCTTGAAATAAGGAGGTGTTTGGCTAATGTGCCATGGTATAGCTACTTTATTGTTTTATTGAGAGTGGAGTGATTTGATTCCTTTGATAGTGTATTATCATGTGGATTCTTCTTTTTTAAGTCCCAGTCAGCTAGAATTTTCATAAACTTCACTTTAAATTCCCACAAAGTTTTGAGTTAAAAAATAAATTCATATTTGACCGCTCACTATGTTGACTTTGCACATGAACTCTAAAATCCTCTCTTTGCATGATATGATATTTGAAATTATTTTTTAAACAAAGTTAATAAAATTAATATCCTTTGCTTTGATCATTAGAAAATCATTCTTTACAGAAAGGATCTTGTTATACTTATAAGGAGTTCATAGAAATCTAAGTTTTAAGAAATTCTTGATTATGATGATACTTCATAGAAACCCTTGAATTATCCTAATATTGAACCTTCTTTTATAAGATCATTTTATCTTGAAACAAGCTTATTTGTTTGCTATTATGACTACATGAGAAATTACCTGTTTATTTTATTCCAAAATCTTTGAAATAACTAAAATGTAAAACAGTAAGTTAGTCAACCATAATATTATTTTATATGGCATATTTAAAGGTAGTAATCAACTATGTATCTCTCTTATCATTTGATCTATTTTAACTTTAAAAAAAATGCAAGAGAAAAATTATGCATCTATCTAAAATTATCTTATAACACTTTGGGACTATTCAGACAAGCTAAGTAGGTTTAGAGTCAGCTCAAATCAAATAATTCCTAATAAAACCAAAACACTCAAATTCATGCCAAGAAACTAGGATTAACTCTTAAAGAGTTTGAAAAGCATGACTAACTTAGCATGGAGGTTTGACCAAGCGTATTTGACAAAATTATACATTAATTAGTAACTCATGAAGGGTCACTCAAACCAAATAAACTCTTATCTTTAACAATTTGGTTTCTTTTTAAGTAACTCACTATGATTGTAGGCCATTAAAATATCATAATTAATTAAAACTTAAATTTTTTTTTCAAATATTACTCAATCTAAATAATTTTTTACCCATCAAGGGCTCACATTAAATCAAATCAATCCAAATAAATATAATATTGGCACAAAAAATTTCTAATATACGTATAAGATTATTAAAAAAATTGAAGGAGGATCCACTTAGAGCATTAGTAAAACATTAAGTGCTTTGCATGAAAATTTAGAGCCTTAAATAAGCCAAATCAAGTCAAATAAACAAATGATGCATTAATAATTCATCAAGGTTATCCATGTGATTAAAGCATTCAATGCTCCATAATTTGCCACACTTATCCTATTGTCTTAAACTAGCCACCCAAACACCTTTGGCTTATTTGGACTTGTCCTAAGTTGAATCATACCAAATTGAGTATTCCAAACATGCAAAACAAGAGATTATCCAAATGCACCTAATTGTTGCTCATGAAAATTCTTCCTTAAGATTCTTGAGGTGATCCACACCATTAAATGCCAAAGGTGGTTAATTACCAGTGATCTAATTAGATTATCTATGGACTGTCAAGGTCGTAATTAAATTTGGCTTCAATTAGAAATGCACTAAAGATTATTTACTTGCAATGACATAAAATACTTGTATAGCCTCCATTTGATTATATGTAATGCACTCAGATGTCATAGCAATCACAAATAAGCAAATCAGATTTGACTTGGTATCAGAAAATATATATCTCCCTCTTTAATAAGTCATTTTCACTTAAACCTAAAAACTCTAATGTCATCACTAATCAATCCACTTCCCAACTATCTATTTTAAAAGTAAAAAACATCAAATTATAGCATTCTCTTTCGTGATACATTCAATCCCAAGTGTCTAAGCTAAATTAGTTGTTTTTAACTTCACAAGAAGTATTTTTAATGGTTAGAAAAAGTTATTAATACCAATGAATCAAACTCGGATCCACCAAACAAAAGTATCTGCTTTTTTCCTTATGGCCAGTTGTGACGTGAATGAGAGAATTGCCAAGCTAGATGATAAGACTAGTTCATCTTGATCCTTTAAACCATTCCAATAAAGGAAACTGAAATTTTGAATAGGATTATCATGAATTGAAACATTTTTTTGGACAATTTTGGTTGTAGGTGAGAGGTAAGAGATGACATGATTGTCTTCCATTTTATTAAATTAAAATTGATAGTCAAGATTGCACCTTGTGGCTTTAGGATTACCATAAGAATTAATCCAAATCATTTGATCATAGATTGGATGTTCTTAAAATCAAAAGCAAAATGCTGCAAAACACAAATCCAAACTTCCAAAAGACATAAAATCATGAAATAAAATGGAAGAATTTGCATAAATTAAAGCATAAGAAGTATTAAAATTTGATGTGTGTCACCTGGCATGGGTGTGACACGTCATGTAGGGATAGCGTAGGTGTGGAATGATGTGCTTGGATGAACCAACATTAGCCATCATAACCTTTGGTTTCTCTCCTACCTAACTCTCATGCACTTCAACCAAACTCGGGTAAAACATTTAAGCAAGCATTCACTCAAAAAACTTCAAATCAAACACAAACTAAAAGCAAACAAAAAAACACACACAACATACTTCAAATCAACTATAAACTAAAAAGCAAAAACGATATCAACACAATCAAACCACAAAGATAACACTTAGGTTGCCTCCCAAGCATAACTTAATTTAATGTTTTCAGCTAGACAGTGTCAGATTTATTGATTAGGACGACGCCAAAGTCAAGACTTTTTTATGACTTATTCTATCACCTTCTAAATACACCTTTAATTTTTGATCATTTACCATGAATGCTTTGACAGTTTTCTTATCCTGAATGTCTACAGTTTTAAAAGAATAATTTTTCATTATAATGAATAGTCCTGACAGTTTGGACTTGAGTTTATTAGAAAATAATCTTAATTGAGAATTATAAAGTAACACCTTATGTTCGGATTGAAAATAATTCCTAATGAGTTTCGGATCATGCCACTTTTATCTCATCTTTATAGATATTGGCATTCTCGTAAGTTTCCTCTTTTATTTCTTCCAATTCATTCAACCACAACAAATCTATTTTTCACTAAATCCTTCATATTTTAATTAAATTCCTTAAATATTCAAAACTCTTTATGCTCCAATTCCATAAGCAAATTCCAAGCTTTACAAATAATCAACCTAGAAGGGATCTTCCTTTTGCTCTGAAACATATTCTACCAAATCTTCCTCCCTCTTACTCCTTAGGCTGATCTTCCTTTTTGCTCTTCTTGGATATATTCTTTCTCTACTGTCTTGCTCTTCTTGCATCTCACTCTTCACCTCTCTGAAATTTTACTCCCCTTAGGCCCCGTTTTATATACCTAAAGGAGATCAAATCTTGTCTATTTTGGACTCAAAACTTACCTATTTTTGGTTTAATCTGAGCCCTCATAACCTAGCTGCCTGCTCTGGTCTCTTCGATCTCGATATTTAATCTGATCCCTTGATTAACCACCTCATCCAAACTGCCTTTCCTATGTCATTGAATCGATCGCTATTCGATCCGTCACAGTTCGCTGATGTGGAGGGTCAAGCTAGGTGTCAATGCGACCACACAATGTGCCACCGTGCTTAGTTGGGCCAACGTGTGGGCCACATTGGCTCGACCTTTGATCGACACACTCTCAGGGCCAAGTGACATGGTCTCAACATGTGAGGGCAATAACAAACTGAACCCACTGACCTGCGAAGGCCCAAACGAGTCCACAATGCAAGTTTGTCTGCTCAACCCGCTGTCAGTAAAAGAAGAGTTACATGAGAGGAGGTCAGATTTGACCCCGCACCCTCATGAGAAGGAAGACCCTTGCCAACTTAGTTGAGCTTAGTTTCTTACCATATACAAATATATTTTATACTTACATAAATACTAAACAACAATTCAATATAATGTAGTAATAACAATAAATTTTGCAGGATTTAGACATTTTCGGCTGGAGTTGGACTTGCCTAAAAATAGTGGACAATCAATATAATATTAACAAATTTTCATCATTGGGCATGAATCTCAGGGTAAATTTGTTTAGAAGAAACATTCAAACTTTGATTAAAATTCATCTTGAACTCTATGTTCAACAAACTTACAACCAAATTGCCCGACTCAACAAGACAGACACAATGATACAAAAATTGGTCCAATTAGAGTCAAAACAAGGCTAGATCAAACTGTTAAACAACTTTTGAAAGCTTTTAATGTATAATTGGAAGATCAAATAAATTTCGAATATGAAATTCTAATAGTTAAATCAAGCATCTCAACACTCAATTATGACACCATCAAGACACCTAAATGTCCACACAATACCGTCTTATCAAGGGAATCTCCTCAGGACGTCCGATCAGAGTGCTTCAGATTCATTCCTTACTTACAACTTAGCTTTATAAATAAAACCAAACCCTCCCTTGAAAGGGGACCTAGACCTTGAGCCAAAAGAATATTGAAGCTTAGAGGAGTTGAAGTCTAACATCAATTCTACACAGAATATTCGACAAACACCCCGCTCATGCAGTTGCCAATTACTATAAACCACCACTGGACAACCACTACTGTACACTATTGTCCGACACCTACTTCTTGTAGCGAAATCCCTTGTGGAGTCACAAGCCATGCTGTAGAGTCACAACCCGTGTCGTGACATCCCAGCCTGCGTTGCGGAACAACAAAGCAACCGACGTAGCAGTGCACCACCCAATATGTCATGCAGCGACATACCTTGAACACAATGTATTCGTTGTAGTAACTTTTCTAACTACAACCGCTCCTCTTGCTTTTGTACAATGAATATTATAGCTTATAATTTGCTAAAAGATATTTAGTAAATTATTTTTTAATTACATTATAAAGAAATTCTATTAATGTTATATGTGTAAGTGGACCGCATTCAACTTCTCTAAGTACCAAAAATAGTATAGAAAATGCAGGTGATGTTGACGTGGCAATCGCGCCGAGTCTGTAGCGACTTTGGTCCAGCCCGTGTGCGCCATCGAGGTTAATACAATGGTCCTGGTTCGAGCTTCATGTTCGCAGAACACAGATACAGCGAAGCCGAAACGCCACATTGGCCGCCGGCGCCACCTCCCCTTCCCTCTGTTTCGCTGAAATTCTCTCATTTCCAATCATCAAGCCGAGTTGTGTCCTCCTATCTCGCGTGCCCTAGATTGGGCAAATCCCATTGCTTTACGGCAAGATATGGATGCGGACAAGGACGCCTCGGGAAGGTTATCTAGGGTTTCGCCACCTTTGTCATTGGTTAATCCTCCCATCACCTCCCAACCTCAGCCTCAGCCAACTCTAGTGCCAGCCACGAAGCAGCGACAGATGTTCACTGTCGAGTTGAAGCCAGGAGAGACTACTGTTGTTTCCTGGAAGAAGCTGATTAAGGAGTCTGGTTCTGGTTTTGGGGAAGCCCTTGCCCCGATGGAAAATAAGACGGCGGTTGAGGCTGGACCCGTAGCTGGAGTAAGCTTGCCACATCGAATTCTGCCGTTTTTTTGCGTTTGGTTTTGTTGTAATGGTGCTTAGCCCTGCATTTTTTTTTTTTTCTTTTTCTCTTTCTCTTATGGTGTTTACAATTGGTTTGTGTCTTCTGGAAGGAGAAGATGGTGGTCACCCTGCTTTATTGTTGTGCTTCAGACATGGTTGAGTTCTATTAAGAATAGGGTTCATTTGGTTGCTTGTAACTATAGAACTTGCCTTGGAAGATGCCGATTTCATTTTTCCTTCATTCCTTTGCGAAATTAAAATCATTACTTTTGTGGAGGAAATCCTTTCACTGGAATAGAGTTCAATATGTTGCAGTATTCAAAATCAATTTTGATTTCTAACTGCATCCAAGCCAAATGATGGAATCTAAAAAATTGCCTATTTTGTCTGAACATGATTGATTATAAACTCAAGTAACCAAATGGACCTTTATGCTGCTTCGCATTTTGGGGAAGTTCTACTTTGCACCTGTTTGAAAAATTTTAAGAAGAATGAACTAAGAAATCAAAGAAATGTTATCAGAGACATTGATGAAATACAATAAAAACCATGGAGTTAATTTTTTGCTAGAGGAGCCTTATAAGATCGTCCTTGATTTTAGCTTGATACAACATAGATTATAGATGCTTAAGATTATATTTTTAGCATATCAAGGGATCTGCTTTGCCCAAGAAAAACTACAACAAGATTCTTGAGTTTACTTATCATATTGGTTCATTATACTTATCTCTTGTTTTTTGAAGCTCCATATATATATACATACAATTTATTTTTTATTTTTATTTATAAATGTGTATACGTATGTTTGTATGTATTTATGTTTGTTATATCACGAATGCTAATAGAATAAGCCATAAGCTGTTCTACATTTGTGACTGACTGTGTTTCTTTACAAAATTGGGTTGTGCCGAAGTCCTTTATTTTTGTTACAAACTAAGAGTTTGCTGTCGTGCCTTGTTTTTTTCTTTTTTATATATATTTAAAACAGGGCTTGGTGGCATGATACTTGCAGAAGCAGCTTTAGATTATTAGAAGGGATTGTCTCTTGAATGAGGAACTTTTATTCAAGCATTGACAATGTTCACCGCTGCTTGTTATATAAGTTGAAGTGAAGCTGTCTACCAAATTAATTTTCACATTGAAATATAGGCTTACTGCCAATTTATTGATAATTTATTTGAAATGTCTGGTGCTGGTATTATGATAACTTTATAGATTAATAAGTGTAGCTAAATGTCTGTCATAGGTTTCAGAAATAGATGTGTTAATCTGATAATAATCACAATTTATCATGTCCAGCAGACTTTGTCTGATGGACCTTATGACTTCTTTTTAAGTCATCATCCCATTGCCACCAAGATTTTTGGTCAAAAATATTCATCCATCTAAAATTTGACTTGGTACATTTTATGAAATTTTAGATTTTAACTTCTAATGTTTTGATTTGTTTGACAAGGTGGTACTCATATGTTTTATTAATTATTCACATTATTAACAAGTTGTCTCTATTATTTGCTTATTTTTTACTCTGTCTTCATGTTTTAAGTTCATCTCTTTGTTTTAAATTCTCAGTCTTAGATTTCTTACTCTCAGTTTTTTTCTTTAAGGTTAAGTCAGATGGGGATGATCTGAAACATACATTACAGGCTCCAAATTGTTTTAGCGCTGTAATTGAAAAGATCGAAAGATTGTACATGGTATGATTTCATTTTCCCTTGAAAACTATGCTTATATATAAAGTTTATAATTTATGCAAAGAAATTTATTGTATTATTTTTACTATTTTCATGTTATGTGCTTGATTTCTGTTTTATGTTCTTTTCAACAGTTTACTATACTAACAGTTCCATATTTATTGAGTTCAGGGCAATGAAAGCAGTGACGAGGAAGAACTTGTTGCTCCAGATGATGAGCAATATGATACCGAGGATTCATTCATTGATGATACAGAATTGGTTGGTATTTCTTTCTTTGTTTTTTTTTTGTTTTGTCAACATGCAATTGGTTGTAATTACCTGCCATTGTTGGACTAATATGAGAACCTTGAAGCCTGCAAGGTGCATTGTTGTCACTGTCATTGGAAGGATGTTTATATTATGATTCTTTGTCCCTTTATCATCCCATTTGATTTCTAGGATAAACTTTTTTTGTTTTTTTAATAATTTTATCATTCTGTTGACCATCTCTTCCTTCTATCACTATCATGTCGGTTTTGAATCATTCATTAGTGTTTTTTTCTCGTTTAATCTTACTTCTGCAATTTACTTGGAGTGTGTCATAAAAAATTCCATTGGTCTTGATCTATCTTGGAACTATTGTCTGCATCCACAGTCAAGTCTTCATGCAGAGTCTTCTTTGTATTCTTTCCTTGAAAAACTGTATATTTTTCCACTAAACTTATACTTTGTTATTACTTTATTAGGTGATGCTTTCTGAATCTCATATTTGATGATTTGAAGCTGGCATCATTATTACTCCTGGGTTGCCTTATCGGAAGTCATATGGATTGCAGCAACACACAACTTTCCATCTTCTGTGAATGAACTAGACCATTATAATTAACCCTTTAGTGATTTGTCTATCATGGAGTTGCTCATAATGATTTGGATTCTATCCAACTGCTGTGATAATTTCATAGTGCAATTACCCTAATCCAAACCATGCAATCTGCTTTGGGCAATTACGATTAATTCTGCTATAATTTTCTTAAACCCTCTCCAGTTTTTGCAGAATCAATCCCATCCATCCATCCAATGTAGATTGCACATCTGGGATGGGGTAATGACTCCATCCAATTTCCATGTTAATTGGAGATGATCCAATTATTATCATTAAGTTACTGCGATCTGAATTTATAGCTAATGTTTTAAAGTTAAGTTGCAAATCCACAATAAGATGCTAGAATGGATTCAGAAGAATAGGGTTCCAGAAAATATTTTGGATGTTCCTATTAACTCATTATGCAATTAATGGTATTTTTTAGTACTGTTTCAGCATATACAAGTTCTTTCTTTGATTTTTTTACTTTTTGTCCACCGCTCTCGGCAAACTCATCCTCTAGCACCCCCTAGAATTCCGTAAACATGGCAGTAGAGGGCACTCTCCCATTTTAGAGTGCCGTTGGGCAGCATTGAACTTTTCTGTTTTTTACCGAACATTGTAACCGGCTGCTGTGGTGGATTCTGTTTCCTATGTTGAAAGTCAGCGGCTCTAAGGATTGAAGCAACAGAAATCAAGGCAACAATCAGAAGCAGGTAGCGCAGATTAGTGGCAAGCTGAGAGCGATAAGATCAGCGGCAAAAGGTGAACACAGCAGCCAAACAGCAACAAAGGCTATAGTTTCTGAAGATGAATTTGTGACTGCGTGCTAGCAAGTTGGGCCTGACGATAGAGAGGAAGTAGGAATAAGATTTGCTTTTCAATTGAATTTTTTCGCAGGATATAAAGCCTATTTGTCGGCAATTAATGCAGGGATAAGCCCTGATGCAATTCTATACAAACTCTACAAAAGATAGGGAACCCTAAATATAATAACAAACTAAATTTCTTCATGCTACTAGATAATTGTTGTAGAATTTACCCTAATCTAGATTTAAGTTCAAATATAAATTTAACCAAAAGAAGTATATAAATTCAAAACTCGGCCTTGTATTTTGGATTAGTTTGGAGTAATTGGCAAGGGCTTGATCTTCCTCATATGCTACTCAATTCATAATCGGATTGTATCTATAAACTATTGTTTATTTCCTCTTCAATCTCAACGGTGTGATATGAGAATCATTGCCATCAATAGATAACATGCAATTTAACATCAATTGATTTGATCTCTCAATTTCTTCAAGATTTGATGCTTGAATTATGTAACAGTTCTTTTTGTTAGCTTTTTTGAATAGGATGTTTAGATTAACCCCTCCATGTTTTGGTTATTAGATCACCGAGTTTCCCCTTTTAGGAGGTTTTTACTTTAGTGAAATCATAACTCTGATGAGTAAAGATCGACTTTACAATCTCGTATCTATGTCACTTTTCTATGATTGTTAATTGATATTTTAGAAAGCTTCTTGGAGATTTTAACACTTATTGAGCATTTAGGTTCGTGGAGCTTACCTAGCATTTTAGGAACCACTTACAAATGTCCAAAGTTATACTTAAGATTTTCTACTTGATTTTACTTTATTTTGTAGTAATATATATTTTTAGCTTGCTAAAACTTAAGAGGTATTGATTTCGTAACTTATTTGTTGCTTAAATTAGGAAGAGAATGGTCTTTTAAGCTCCTTCAATGATGAAGATTTTTTCACTTTTGCGATGTCTCTATTTTGTTGAAGGTACATTGTTATGCACCTACTTTTAGTCATGAGTACACTTTGATTGCCTTCACTTTGGTGGAATCTATCTTTTGATTGAATTTAGATACATTATATGTGATAGAGGTATATTGGAGATGGGTCTATGCCTTGTTCCTCAGTCATCTTTTGCATTTGAATCTACCATTTTACAAGTAAAGAAATCATGTCTTATGGTGTTTTAATAGGTTGAATTAATATTTATAGGAATTTCTAACTTGCATTAAGTTTAATTGCTTTTGTTATTATGTTTGCCGTGAACATGTCATAATCTTTTTCATCAAAATGGTGTTTTTTGTCATTTGGGAGCTTACACTGATATGGATGCCAATGCAATACCAAATACTTACATGGAGGTATGAGCTAATGTAGATGACTTCGTGGACGTTGCTATCTTTCCTACCATATTGACAATGCCATCTTTCACGATTGCAATTTTCTATCTAGATCAACATTAAATTTTCATCTTTAACCAACCCAAAGGACAAGAATTGGAATAGTGTATAGCTTCAAACTCTAATTTCTTCACCAAATTTATAAAAATGAGGCTCTTATGGCTATTGGCTGGATGATTATGTGATAAACTCTTGCTTGACTTGTATCCTCATGGCGAAATGTGTGTTTACATTAGATGATGATCGTATTGCTATATCCTTTGACATTAGCATTAAAGCAAGTGATGTATTCGTTTTATCCGTTGGACTTGGCATGACATTGTCCACTACAACAATAATTTTTTTCTTTCTACTTTATCTTTTTTTTTTAGAGACGAGTTTATGGGGTAATTTCCATCATTGTTTTTTTTTCTTTTTGCCGCATGTAGTTTAAAATGGTTGTAGATTATAGCAAAGTTATTAGTTTTGTAGAAGGAAGAGCCTTTCTTTTCCTTCTTTCTTGTGGACAAGGAAGATCCCATTTTGGATGGTTCTTAGGCCTTCTCCTTAACATTTCAGTTTTTGCACATTATGGCCATTGCCATCATACATGCGCTTGTTGAGATCAATGATTAGGAACTTGCGACATTCATTTTCAATTTGAAAATAAAGCCTTGAGGTGTACTTTTTTAGTGTTTGTATCTCCTTAAATTTATTCACAAAGTGGCCGCCTAGTGTTAGAGTTTTGTGGTTTACTTTGAACATATTATCCATGCTATTGCCTCAAGTTATCTCACATATTCCATTGATTTTTTTTATACGCTAGTGGGTTTAGTGTATCAATGCTTTAACATCCCTCAAGTCAGCTTTGGAGACCATTATCTTTAAATGTGCATTCCACCACACTAGGGCACAATTAATAACTGTTTATTTGGTTCCATACTTGAACGAGATGAGTTAACTCTCTGATTGGTCAATACATGCAACGAGCTTCTCGGCATCAACTGCCCCATCATGTGTAGGAATCTTCACTTTGGCTTTTACTTTGAAAGTTTTCATCTTTTATGAGTGGCGGTCACATTCTCATCATCCCAACTATTTTTGCATTTGGCATGAAAGATGGAGGAATAGTACTTTGCCCCCTATTCCTAACTATGGTGATTTATATTCTCATTCACTCCATTGTCGTGGCCATATGCTTTGTCATTTTTGCCACATGGTCGGCTATATTTGATGTAAAATTGTTGTTGGCCATTGAATGGATTTCTTTATCTTTATCTTTTTTTTTTTCTCACTTTTTTTCTTGCATTCCATCTCTAACGTAGACGTGGCTTTCTTTTCTCTTTGCAACCCTTCTCTATTTGTACCATGTACTGTGGAATGATGGTCTGATACCAACTTGATCGACCACCAACCTTTTAACATTATGCTGAAGTCTACAATAAGATGCTATCTTAAGATTTTGAAATAAGTTGGTATCTTAAGATTTGGAAAGGCTTTAGGGAATTTTGTGTAGGTTCCTTGTTGATCAATCAATCAAATAAAGGGATCTTTAATGTTAGTTCATGTTATAAAAGCATTCATTTCTCTCATTTCCACTTCTATCCGCTGTTCATAGCAAACTCTTCCTCTTCTCTTCCAGAATGCTGTATACATTGAATCTCTGGTTTTCTTTTGCTGCAAATCAACGCAAAACTTTGGACAACAGTAGACTAGTCTTCCACTTTGTAATGTTGTGGACAGTACTCAAATTCTCTGCTTGTTTTCCACACAACAACCAGCTGCTGTAGAGGATATTGTTTCTTGTGTAGCACAAGGTGGCGGCTCTAAAGTAGCAACAGAGATCTAGACTGCAATCAACAACAGATAACAGCAGATTAGCAGCATGCTGAGAACAAGATGTCAAGAACAACAGTGGCAGCAGTAGGATTCGGCAGGAAAGAGGGGGAAAAGCCCAAAGTTGATGAGTGCTTGTGGTATTTTGCGAATCTGTGCTGCAGGAACAAGGCTTGGGGCAGTGGGAAAGATTAATTTATTGCGGTAGAATTTCTATTGGTTTTTATTACAGGATATTAAACTTATTTGAAGACAATTACAGCATTAAACTACTTCCAATCCTAAACAAATTTTACAAAATAGGGAACCCTATATACATTAAAATCTAGGTAACTTTAAATTACAAAATAATTGCCTATGATGTACTTCTATGATTTTCTTATTGTAATATTTCTGTTTTATTTTTTTTTAAAAAAAACTTTAAATACACTATAATTCTAGCTTGAATTCATCCTAATTTGATCTTGTAGTAAAAATAAACATATTCAAAGAAAGATTAAAAATTCTAAATTCTTATCATGAAGTTAATTATGATCCAATCTTGCTTCCATTTTTTTTAATCTCTTTTGTATGATGTTAGATTCAAGATTCAATCACGCCAATAGACTTCTGTTGATGCCCTCTTCTATCTCAATGGTGTGACCTAAGAATCACTTCCATTGATAGCAACATATTCAATTTTCTGAACCCTTCATTATTTGATGCCCAAATTATGAGAGGCACTTCTTGCAATCATTTTGAAGTGGGTAGTTCGATTGATTATCTCTTTTTTAATTTGATTCTCAGATCACTATCATTACTGGGATCTACATGTGCCTAGTGATATTTCTCACTTGCTAGTCACCAGTTATTTTTGTAACTTCATATTTGGTTATATTATGCATACTCAAGTTGCAAAAACAGATATAAACAAAAAAAATAACTTGGGGGCATTTATATGACACACAATATGCTCGTGTGCTTGTTTATAATAAAGATTTATATTATTTTTAAAATTCATGCTTATTTGCATTCCACTTTTTTTCAGGGGAGCAACTGTTGTGGCGCCTTTAGCACTGAGCAATCATATGATCTCAGGCCATATAGATGCTTTTAAAACACTTCTAAATCCACTTTATCCCCTTTTTCATTTTCTTGACATAATTATTCCATAAATGTTAAGAGCACACAATAGCATATAATCTTTGCTATTTGCACAATAAGGCGTGGAGTATCAAAATAGTGCATGGTATTTGCATATGTATGGGCGATTCTGCCGGTGCATTGCTTTTAGAAGGCATGCCATTTTGATTTGTCTAAATTATTAATTTGTTTATATTAAATTTATTACAAAGCAATTGGAGTGTTTTAAACTTTTCATGACTGAACACTCTAGCACAATCATTACTTTTTATTATTATTATATTGTTTTTTTTTATAAATTTAGTTATTTTCATAACCAAGATAATTTATTCTTTTTATATGGTTTTCATTCATAAATTTTCATATATCTTTAGTCGCATCTCTTTTTTTTCTTTTTTTAAATAAGTTGTGCTATGGTTAAAATAGTATGCACTATGCAATGCTCCATGTGATATGGCTTTATAAAACCTTTGTACTATGGCATGCTATTTGCCATTGACAAATATGACTTGCTCATTCACAAGTATTCACTAAGGGTACAAACATTGAATATAAGGTGTCGATATTGGTTTAGTTATTTTATCTTGAAATTTTATAGTTTTTTTTTTTATTTATTTTAATCTAGTTTAGTCAATACATTGGTTAATTGGCCATAAAAAATTAAAAGAATATAACGGAGGATTGTTTATTAAGCTAACAGTTGATAAGCATGAACATTTGGATCTTGTCTTATATTTTAAAATCAAAATGTTAAAAAAATGACTTTTTTTTTTTTCGTTGCTCAAAGAGTCATTATCTGGGTTCAAATCGCCTCTCAAAGTAGATGTATGCTTTTGTAAAAGATATTTTTTTAAATACTTAACATCATCACTGAAGATGGATTCAGATAGATGTCTGCGTTATGTTTATGCTTCACGATGCTACTTAATAGAAGATTTCCTGACAACATGTTTAGTTCAGTGCACCAACCATTTCTCATACTTTATTAGTATTTTATAATATTAATTTATAAACAATATTGTCCTGCTTCCTCTGGAAATTCTCCAAATTTCAATATCTCATTTGAATCTAAGGCTTATCTATATTTATTATCTTCTTTTATATTATACTTCAATTTTTGTTTATTTAGCTCTTATAAAAATATTCCTTGTTATTTATTTATACTTCAATTTTTGTTTATATATCTCATTTGATCCCTTTATAAAAATATTCCTTTGTATGCATTTATTTTCCAATTTCTCAAAGTAGTAAAATATCATCTTTCGTTGTTGTTATTTATTTATTTATTTAATTATATATCCTTATCTTAAACCTAATTCATTTAACCTGATTAAAATCTCTACATCTCTTTTATCTTCCCTTTGTGATATTATATATATATATATATATATATATATATCCTTTTCTGCTTCTTTCTCATCTAGTCTATTATGCTATTTAAATCTTTGAATGACTTTTCTACATTTTATCTATTAATATTTATAGCTTATACTTAATCTATACCTTTATGGTATTTATCTTTTGAAATCATTTAAAAGAAAATTTTTATCTTTAATACCTTTTATATTTCCTCCCTTCTCCACTAAATCTTCTTACGTCAAATCTCTTTTCTACTAAATCATCAAAATTATTGCTTTGACAGTCTTTTTCTATATTATCCCGCATCAAGTTTAATTCTCCTAGCAACTTATTTAGAAGATTGAAAAATTCTCCTTTTAAATGTCATTTTCTTATTCTTGGCTAGTAATTTCATTAGATTATTCTCTTATGGTAGTTGAAAAAATGTTTTTGCTTCCTCGAGAAAAGTATTCTATCTGTGATCTTGTAGCTTCGCCCTTGAATCTATCTGTGATCTTGTAGCTTCACCCTTGAATGTTGCTAAGCACTCTTCTTATTTTTTAATGCTTGTATTTACAGTTACAAAATCAGATATTGTTTACAATTACTTATTAGGCCATCGTGAATAGTATTGCTTACAACAATTTAAATCACCACGAATGGTTATCCTTTTTTCTCAAATTTACATTTTATTTAGTTGTACCTAATCCAATGCAAGGAACATGAGCATTAACTACATTCAAATCAGCTGCTGTTCTTCTAAAAAGTTTGTCTAGTATGACCTCTAAATGATTTATGAACATCACTCCTCAAAGTTATTTATGTGTCAATGATTCTATGATTGGCTAATGATGGCAGTGTTGCATGAATAGCTATTACTTATGCCTTATATTTACTTTCACAGGATGAATACTTTCAAGTTGACAAATTGTCCACCAAGCATAATGGATATTTTGTCAATAGGGGAAAGCTGGAATGGAAGTAAGTTTTTTTTAATACAAACATCCGTCAATGCATGCATATGCATGTATATATATATATATATATATATATATATATAGCTGCTTTGATCCTTTTGCCACGCTCATTAAACATAATAACTGATGAAATACAGTTTCATTGCATGAATATGAGTCATAATTATTTCTGCAATAAAATTTTTTTGAAGATTTTCATTTAGAAACTTGTCTTTTTTTGTTTGCAACTCACCATAGTAGTCAGTTTAACTTCTTAGCTTGACAGGCTAATGCCTTTTCAGTCTGTGAAATCTTGTTGTGTCTTTAATCAATAAAGTGATTATAATAGTTCGTGGTTTGAAGTACGCATTATGGAATGCAATGAACCTCATAGGTATAAAAATATGAAATCGGCTAAATAGAATCTGGGCATTTTAAATGAAACGAAATGCAGCACATGCACCACCTATCGGTATTATCTTTTCTCCTTAGTGCCCTAACATACTGTTTCATACCCCTGCACTGAAGTTGTTCGGGTGTTTCTTGTCAATAATGACAATAAAAGTATTGTTACTTTCCCTTTTTACACATAAAATAGTGAGGGTGCAGAATTGTCGCTTTGCCAGCATGCAAGTCAGTTGTCTTGTCCTTTTTTTTTTCCTGGTCATAATTTGTTCTATTTGAAAAGTGATTTTTTTAACCAGCTATGTTTTTCTTTATTATCTGTTTGATGTTAAAGCCATGTTTCTTTCTTAGTTTGGAAAAAAAGAATTTTGTTTCAAAGCCTTTTTGTGCTAATTTTATTACAGACGGGTAGGTTATTTGTTGAATTTGCTAGCCCATCGCTTCTGAGAGTTGAGAGCAATAGTCTTTATTATGCTGGAAAAGAAATCTTAATTATAATTAACAGGCCTGTGATTGCTTTAGTAGGACTACCTCATGGTTCATGGTACGTTTGCTTTGCATTTAGTGTGAAGTATTATTGAATTTTTACGAAATGCTCACTACTATATTCCTCTGAAAATTCTCTACATTTTTCTTTTTGGACTCGTTTTTGAGAGCGAGTCTTTCTTCTATCATGTTTCCTTAGGCAGAACTTCATATGTATTTGTGTATTTTCTATTGTCAGGTGTTTTGGGGACTGGGGCGTGCAGTGGCTTTATTAAATTGTATGTGGGAATAGTTAGAGTTTACAGCTATGCATATGTGATTATTCACTATTGGGAATCTTTCTTTTCAGTCAAAGACCAAAAGTATTTCTAATGCAATTGCTATGAATCCTTTATCCAAAAAAATTGTGGTATATGAAGTTTTCCTTAAAGTTACTTTTTGCAGGGGTCTTGGTTATTCTGTGTGTTTGTGTGTGTGTGTATAAATGCATGCCATCCTAGTCTGGTGGTTAAGAATTTTGTCTTTCGACCAAGAGGCCATGGGTTCAAAGCCTTGCATTTGTGGGGTGCGTGCATTTGCATGTTTGACACGGGAGCTACCCAGGAGCCTTGTTTCCACGTCCCTGCTTTAGTATCACGCCTGCAATCATCTGCATTCCTGCAATCATGCGGCCACCCTTTTTCATGCTTGGATTGAGCCGGTCCTGATTTTTTTGCTGTTGTGGAGTCGATCGGCCCTTCTGGGCCACTCTCCGTCATCCTCTTATTATATATTTGTTTTTCTGATGTTCTAGGTTTAGTTTTTGGTGTTTTGGACCACCGCCGATATCCGTTTTTCTCCCTTTGAGAGCTTTTTTCAAGGGATTGGGTGGTGCTCCAGTTGTATCTCTCTATCAAGGTAGTGATTATCTTCCCTTTCCCCATCTGCTTCTTCCCCACGATGCTCCTAGCCATCCTCTATTGTAGCAACCACTCCAAACAACACTCATTTACTGTTTTTCATCGCGGTCTTCCCCTTCCAGCCCTTGTTGCTCGCTGCCACCGCTTCAGACAGACACCCCTTTGTCCTGCGGTCCCCCACTTCGCCCTTTCACTGTCGTCATCCGAAAAACAACAAACTTGATGTTTTTCCGTTGTCCCCTGGTTGTTCCAGCCTTGTTAAAGCGCCTCGCCGCTCTGCTTGCCACCTCGCTTGTTGCTCTCTGCTTCGCTATCAACGCGATTCCAACCCCTCATTTTGCTGTCCTAACCATCCCCAACATATTTCAACCTCCTATCTGGCTACCTCTGCTCCAAGACCACCTAGCTATTCTCCACCACCTATAGATCAAGCCCTAGTGTGAGTTTGTTATAATTTCCCTTTTAAGTGTGCTCGATTGTAAACAATTATTTACTTTAAGTAATAATATTTATTTTTTCTATTATGGTTTGGGTTAACTCCAGTATCAGTGTGTTCTTGGGAAAAAAACACACACAGGCACAGACACAGACGCCCGCGCGCGCGCACACACACACACACACACACAC